AAGCTACCCTTTTCCTAAGTCCGTTCTACTCATGAACTTGAGAAATAAAAAACACGAAAAAAAAATGACATTTCGACTGATGTAAGGAACATTTTAAATGATGGATTTCAAACTCATTAATTAAAAGTAACATTTTAATGAAGCAAAGACAACAAATTCGGTTTTTAATCAATTCAACCATACTAAATGTGTTTTAAATTAGAAAAAAGAATGAGTCTTAAATATGATTCAATTGACCGTCGATCATACAAAAATGCAGTTCTATCTTAGATCCACCATTATTTAAAAAAAAAAGCAAATTGTTTGATACGGTGACACAGTGTATTCGATAGAACGTCACATGCTCTACAACTCTGACAGTAGAGAATTCGCAATATTTTTTTGATACGACTAAAATATTGAATTAAATTTCAATTGAATTATCTCAAATGAAAGGTTCTACCAAATCGCAATCAAATCCAAAATATTAAATCGGTTGGTTTTGCCTATGAAAAAAGCGAACAAAAACAAATATAAAGATCTAGTTAGCATTGATTACAATATGCACTATCCTTCTTAGTGATTGCTAATTTTACCCGCAATGTCGTGTAATCTCTTTCAAAATGGCGATACCTACTTCAAATATGTGTTCAGTGCGCGAAGCTAGGTCAAAGAAGTTATTTAAGAGTAACCATCTTTTCGTATTCAGCTAGATCAAGCTTATGTATGTACTTGATAAATACACAAACCATAGAGGTACTACTGTTTCGATAATAATTAATGAATGTTATCAAGTATCGAGTTTGAGCTTTAATATTTGATAAGACTTTATGAAAGCTGCAAAACTGTATATTTCCAAATTTTAAAAACGAGATTTGTTTAAGGGATATCTAGAGATATTACTCTGAAGACTGTGTATTATCATTGTTGACTAGTCTTTAGTCAATTATGATCAGAAACCTATAGTCTGAGTCAAAACTGACGTTTTATTCAGAAGAACCACTGAAAATTGATTGACTTCTTGTGTTTCAAATGCTTCTAAGACTATTTTTTCTAAAAAAAACGCTTCTCTAGCCTATCTTTCGCGACTGTTGACAATATGTTGTCTGTCGCAATAGTATTTTTATAATTTAGTCCTTCGTTGTTTAACCCTTTCAATCCTGAGTGTCATTGCGAGATGACATGCAGAGCGCAAAAGAACTATTTTACGTTCTTTCCTTTTCTTGCACGACAAGCATCATATGATATTTTCAAACGAAAATCACTTCGTATGGCTGTGAAGAAAGAATCTAGTATTCGAACACATATGATCGTGATAGCTGAACACAAGAGAGAGAGATTGAAAAATCTTTTTTTGATGATCTTGCAGAAGGTAAGAAAATGTCAGGATTGAAAGGGTTAATGTATATTGTCATTCTGGAATTCAGGTCTTTCGTTCTATTGGGAAAATTGCGTTTTTGAAGAACCCAGAAGAGATTACGTGACACATACGGATAGAATGAATGATCACTCAGAACCGTAGGCACGTTATGGTTAATGCTAATTTGATCCGCAAGTTATAAACATTGGACAAATCAATGTCAAAGGATTTGTCTTGACGACATCTATGCCTGGTGAAAGAGAGGCCACAGTATCTCTTGCAACATGGAAGAAAAGTTCGAAATATTGTTCCACTAGAAGAGCCCATTTTCGAATTTTCGGCAGTTCGTGAAGTAGAGTGTTTTGTTTACTTTCTATGTTGGTCATTTAAATAAACTGACTTTGTAGTCTATACTACTATCCAACTAATAATACGTTTTCAAGCTTAAATCAGTCAGCCATTTCTAGGATAATGTCAGAAAACTAAGCATATTCATTAGTAGCGATTATTGTAGGTCACAAAATCAACCCATTACACTTGCTTTAGTTCGCGTTTTTCATAGGTCAAATCATTGAATTTAATATTTTGGATTTAATTGTGGTTTGACAGAATCTTTCATTTGAGATAACTCAATTGGAAATAAATTCAATATTTTAGTTGTAGAAAAAAGAGTTGCGAATTTTTTACTATCAGAACGTGTTTTATTGTTATCTGTAATTGAAATCTATATTCTATTTTTTATTCTAAAACTGTTTATGGCACAGCATCTGTTGAAAAAGTCTTAAGACAAAATATTTATTAATTTTTCAATCATGTAAACGTAATCAGTGAGAATCAAAAATAGTTACCCTAACATTGAAATCTCCTGCTTTTTTTCTAATATGTGATGAGAATATTTCTCTGATCTAGAATTGCCGAGAGATAAGACAAATGTTTGAAAGAGTCTAAAATGATGCTTACACAGCATTTTTTTAATGTATTTTGTTTTTGAACAATAATTACTCAAGATGAAATATGAAAGATATTTGCACGAGATAGTTTTGTAAAACAAAGTTTGTTTTATAAATCATATTATCTAGCTTTTATTTTTTGCTATCTTAATGCAAATGCATGAAGTTTATTATACTTTAATCTTTCATTTGTCGAGGGACGTTTTTTTGAAAGAGATATTTTTATCTTTTTAGTTTTCAAGCAAATAACACGCGTTAATAACATGAAGAACTAGCAGAGAGAGTAAAAAATGAGCAAAAATACGTTTCCGATGCATATCTCATTGATCCGACAGTTCTTGTTCGTAATTGCATTGTGAAATAAACGTAACAAGCTGTTATATTTAACGTAACAACATTGTCACATTCTGAAAATGAAAGCCACCGCCTGAGAAATGAGCACGTCTTCTAGTGCATAAGACAACCATAATGCATGAGAAAACAAAAAACAAAAGATACATTTATTTTCTTTGTCACCATTCTCGATTTTCTGCATTTGTCACACCGCTTTCAAAAGTCAGCAGTCACATTTTTTTATTCTTGATGTGTAGTTTAGCTTGAATGACATAATTAAAAACTGAATATAGATCATTCCTCAATACATTTCTCTATTTTTCTATTCAAATAAAGACATGAAGACGTGATTCATTAATTTTTAATTGGTACAATTATTTGCGACTATATAAGATAAATCAAATTGTGTCAATATTAATTTAAATAGAATGTGTTTGTCGGATCAGATGTTGCTTTTGGTCATGAATTTCTAAGATAATTCGTTAGAATCGAAAAAGAAAAATGCAACAAATACGCAGAGTAAAATTTCAGAATCAGACAGGAACGAGAGAAGATTTTACTAGATAGTTTTCTCATGATTTTCTATAATCAACAGCTAATTAATTATCGATGCTTATCTAAGGTATCCCAGCATGTCGAAAACAAAAGAAAAACAGCTCTATAAGATGTTGATGAGCAAAACGGAGTGTAACAAAGTTTCTTTTCAACTTTCAACCATATTGTGAGCTCAGAAACCGTTCATAAATAAAATCTAAAAACTACCACCAATTGTAATTCTCCTTGTTAGAATAAAAATATTGACTGTTTGATAATGAATTAATCTGTTCGTGTATTTAATCTACTTTTTCTCATCTCTTTAATCTTTAGATCTTATTATTTTGTGGAACTCACATAGATTTCCGAAGAAAATAATGAGTGTACGTTTTAAATCGAGGTTTTGCAGTTCTTTCAGGCCCTAGCAACTATGAAAAGAGGAAGCCAAAAGTTTTTCCATATGTTTCCATAGCAAGGAGAAGTGACGGGTAAGTAATATTAGTGTTTATATCATTCTGAGACTTAGTAGATTTCAGAAGTTTAGTTCAAATATTGCGGTCCTTTTTTTTCATGCAGCAAAAGGATCTTATTGAAGAGGTTAATCGTTTTGATATAACAGAGTCTGAATGGGATGGACCTAGAAAAATTTGAAATTAATGATTTCTTATTTTAGGCAAAACTCAATAGTAGATATCAAAATTCGTCGAGAGAAAAGATAGTGTGTGGAGTAGCTTACTGAGCAATAAAATCAATATGTATAGTAGGCTAATATAGTAGCTGAATCGATGAAATGAAGAGTTAAATTTTATTTGTCGCTGTCTATGGCATGTATCGTGAATATATTATCATTAGGAGAAAATAAGCTATGAACTAAAGATGTATTTAATAATATAACTTTTTACAGTGTAACAAGGTTAAATGAATCAAATAAATTGTTAGATAAGAAATTAGAAATACGAACATTTTCAAAATAATAAAATTTCAAAGCGCACGTATAAAGCTCTGACAATATTTCGTAAATTTATAAAAGTCAGAGTTTCTGAGTTCTACACTTTGATCCCGCATGGGACCGCACTAACAAGCTTTTTTTAAAGGTTACACTGTGAAGTTCTCGACAAGATAGTATTAAAAAAACTCCGCTCAAATAACTGACATTTTGTTTTTCGGCATACAATAGATTTATCGATCAAATTTCGAAGTACCTCCCAAAATGAATATTTTTCGTGTATCTGTCTAGTCTGAAACTTGATTTTAAATATGGAATATCTTAGATCTTCAGAACTGAAATTAAGACATTGATCAACTATTCACGGAAATGCGTCCGCGGCATCTCTCTCGATCTGGATGCCACAGAAACACACTCACACAACAAACACTGTCGGAATATCTGACCATCTGAATTGAATAATTAAATATCTACATATCAAACAAGATCTTCAATTATGGAAGCTAACTTTTAGGTTTCACACTACTAATATGGTACTAGTTTTAAAACCCATATTCTAGAAGGGACTTCGCTCTCATCGAGTAAGTGAACCAATTGTTCGAGAAATAGTGCAAAAAAGATCGCTTACAATGAAGGTGCAGATTCTAGTATCGTCCAATTATCAACACATAATTATGACTTTTCAATAAATTCTTGTGTCATTAGTGGTCAGTTGGAACATTAGCAGTAAATGACTTCTCACAACGAATCCACAACATATACTCTTTTTATCGTTCAAAAATGGATCTTCACGGAACAAAACATTTTTCATCTCATTCATTCAGTACTTCACATCAATAAAAATTTGAACAGCAGATTTTGAAAGTTTTGTTTCTATCATTTTCAGATTAGATTTATTATGGATCAATTGAACTCAACCATCACTTCAGGGTCCGATGCAGATTTGATTGCAACAATAGAAAATGTCACACTTCAACTTGTTCGCTACTTTTCAATTTTTATCTTTCTTTTTGGTTCGATTGGAAATATTCTCAATGTTTTAATTTTGTCCCAAAGATCATTTCGTTCTAATTCATGTGCTGTACTCTTCCTATTCTCATCAGTGGTAAATTTTGTTGCCATTATTTCTGGTCTTCCTTCACGAATATTATCTGGTTGGGGAGCTGATCTAACAGCAACAAATCGATGTTTTTGCAAACTTCGTGGTTTCGTTGTGAATACTGCAAGACCAGTAGCGATTTGGTATATACTTTTCGCTATGATTGATCGATGGCTTCTGTCAAGTCTTAAATTACAGCGTCGACAGATGAGCTCATTGAAAAATGCTAAACGAGTTATGATTATTAGTCTCATTTTAGCTACTATGATTTTTTCACATGTTATCTATTGTCATGAGCCAAATCGTATTAATGCTCCACAGAAATGTTATGGTATAACAATAGCATGTCGATTTATAACCGATATGTCATTTATGGTTCTTACTATTCTTCCTTTACCTCTGATGTTAATGTTTGGTTTAATGACCATTTACAATGTTCGTCAATCACGAAAGCGAATCGCTCATCGAGATACATTAATGGTAAGAAATATGGTCACAGTCAATACGAACCAACAACGTCGATTAACTAAGCAAGATTATAATCTATTAATTATGCTTCTTGTACAAATTTTTATTCTTTTCATATTATCTCTTCCGTTGGCTTTTCAGAAGTTATACTCAGCAATAGTGACTGATACATCATCATCTTCATTGCAAGATGCTATTAACGATTTGTTCTATAATTTTTCACAATTACTTCATTTCTTATCAAATGGAATGACATTCTATATTTATACGTTGGCTGGTGGAAAAGTGTTTCGTAAAGCTTTATTCAAATTCGTCATTTATATAAGACACAAGATCTTTCATAGATGATGATGATTTTATATTATTCACTTCATGTTTATTCAATTGACATATTCAAAACTGTAGAACAAAAGATTCATGAAGAGAACTATTGAAAAGCATAGCATGAAATGACGAAGTATTATGAAAATCCCATTGAATCAACGAGCTGACTGTGACAAATTTTGAGAACCTAGCAACAGAATTTTGATTATGCATGTTTGTAAGAAACGACTTATATTTAATTGACAAATAAAATATACTGAATTGATCAATAAAAATGTACCAATAAATAAATGCTCTTCTTACCAATAACAAAACTTAAATAATAATAATTTAACTGAAGTACCAATAAATATACTTCATGATCAATAACTTAACTAATTGAAAATTGATTTAATGTAATTACAAATAATCAATATAAAATGATAATTTGTTATAATGAATGATAATCAACTAGAGAAATGCATCAATATTCTTAAATTTAATTACATTCAGGATCATATAAAAGAGAGCGCGTTTGTGGAGTTAGTCAATAAACGATTCAAAAATTCAACGTAAATTGAAAAAATATTTATATCATAATGAGAACAGCTGCATGCTTACGTTTCATCTGACTCTTTTGAATCAGAATCAGAGAAAGTCGGTAATGTAGTGAACAAAACTAAACGTAAATTGGTTTGGGAAAAATTTGCTACATATTCCAATGATCAAGGCCCAAAAGTTGCTATTGCAAATGAAAATACATGGACTGCATATGATACTAATAAGTGTAGTGATGGTAAAACAGTGTATTACCGTTCTAACAAAGTAAAATTACGTGGTACACAGTGTAATGCGGTCCTTCAAGTATATTATCCAAATAACTCAGATGAAGTAATATTATACAAAACAAAGAGTTCTCATAATCATGATGAATTGAATCTTTCGAAACAAGTTATTTCAAAAGAAGCAATACTCAAAATACAAGAATTGCACAAGCTACATTTAAAACTGAATGCAATAATGGAGGTTCTAAAGCAAAACAATATAATAATAAAAAAGAGGCAATTGTCGAATTATTTACACCAATTGAATGAAAATGAAGGCAAAATGACAATAAGGTTGGGTGAGATGGAAGAATGGCGCTTAAAAAATGAAAAAATACCTGATAGTGATGATGAGGCATTTGTATGTTCACACGAAATTCAATATGAAGATGTAGAAGACATTGGTAATAAATTCAGATTTTTCTTGACTACAAAGAGGCTTCTATCAATCGCCAATAAATCAAATAAAATACATGCTGATGCTACATACAAATTAATTTGGCAAGGGTTTCCAGTTTAATTGTCGGTACATCTGATTTAGATAGGAAATTTCATCCAATTGGTCTATCTGTATGTACTGAAGAAAAACAAAAAGATTTTGAATTCATCTTTAAAGCTATTCGTGATGGTTTATTTAAATTAGATAATAGTAGCACATACAAACCTGATGTTTTGATTGCTGACGGTTCAGATGCTATTAGAAATGCATTTAATTGTATTTTTGAATCAAATAAAATGGTTATGTGTTGGGCTCACGTGCGCATATATTTAGATAAAAAATTATGCCTAATCAATGATAACAATGAGCGTCATGAAGTAATAAGTGACATTGAAAAGCTTCAAATATGTAACTCAACGCATTATTTTCAATTAGCATTGGAATTATTTTAAAAAAAACAATGAAAAGCATAAAGATTTTATTCAGTATTTCAAATCAAAGTGGTTAATGGTTCATTCAGGATGGTATGAAGGCTACTCTCACTATACTCCAAGCACTAATAATGCTTAGAGAAACTACAAATAAAGTTATAAAACATGAAGATACATTCAGAGAGCGTCTTCTACTTTCCGGATTTTTAGTTATTGCAATTGAAATGGCTAAAAAATGGTCTAGAGATCGTGATAAAAAACAACCAAATGTAATTTTATTCGTAAATGAACCAACTATAACGTTGAGTAAATGAAAAAAATCGTATTAATTCGCCAAAAGCCCAAAAACAATTTTAGAGAATGCATCAAAAGCTACCGATGAAACTGATTATTACGTAGTAGCTGGTGCAACTGAAAAACTAACAAAAACTCAAGTAAACAAATACAATAAACAAAAAAGGGAACAACTTTGACGATTACAAAGAATCATTAACAATTTGGAAAGTCACCTTACCAAACGATCCATCTCTTTGAAAAAAAGGTTCTTCTAACTGTCCATCATTTTTCAAAGAATTTGTTTGTAAACATGTAATAGGGCTTGCGATACGACTAAAGTACTGCAAACCTCCACCTGCATCTAAAGATTTAAAAATAGGTGAAAAAAGAAAACATGATGGTCCTAAAAAGGCCACTAATGCTTCAAATAAGAAAATAAATTTAATTAATTGTACTTGATTATTTATCAATAATTAATATTATAATTTTGAAAATTTGTTTGTATATTTGTTAAAAATAATAAATTATTGGTAATTCAAGTTTTATTTATTTATCATTTGGTATATTTTATTTATCAATTAAATACATGCCGTAAGAAACTATATTTGTATTGTTGTTTGTTCATGATTGTCAATCATTTCTCGTAGTTAGAAGTTAGAAAAAGAACATATTATACGAAGTAAATGACTAAGAATCTTGCAAGTTTTTGCTGAAGATTTTATAGGTTTTCAAATAAAATACAATGTCGAAACTTGTATGAGTGTGAATGTAGATTTGGATAGTCTTTCTATAAACCTACTCATTAGTAAGAATGTTTAGATGGCACTAGCAAAGTGGTAATAGATTTAGAGAAATCTTTTGAGATTTGACTTTCAATATTTTAGCTATTTGAAATCCTATTTTGTTCAACACTTTGCATTCCGATATTTTCCTTTTCGAGGTTTTTTTCGAGATTTTTAAAGTATTCGGTTGAAATTACTATACAATTTGGATAATCAGTATAGGCAACATTTCTTTTGGATTATGACGACGAAACTATTAGAATACATGTTTGATACTAATGCATATGTAGATTGTCAGAATTGAGTACATGAAGTCATTACAATGGCGTTAGAAGCGAATAAAAATCTTTTCTAGCATTTACATATATGAGCCAATTTTCGTGCAATTATGATCCACTTCTAGAAAAGCTGCTCAGCCGATGATCATTATTGCGGCTGATTTTTTATATATGTCTATAGACGACAGTGTTCGATGATTTTTTACGAAAACTATTCAAAAAATATTGCTTTATTTTCGAACTATTTAATTATTTTTTTCGAAAGTTCTATCAATTACGAAAAACACATTATTTTGCAGTGTGGGTGATAGACATATTTCATCATGGATATATTCGTTGATTTTGAAATTTTTACTGTGAATACACCTCAAATCCAAGTACTTCTCAAAAAAGTCTGAGTTGAAAATGAATGAACTATAGAAAAGTTGACCAATACTATCAAACATATTAAAATAAATTGCTGCTGCTCGGTATTTTATGCACATAGATATCTCAAGAACAGATAAAGTTAAAGGACTAAAAGTTTGGTCATGGAATGATTTCAAGAAGTTCTCATTCTGATGGAAAAAAGTCAGCATTTGATAGATGTCCTGTTGGTAGAAAGATCATCAACAAAACTGATGCTCTGACTGAAAGAATGATTTGTGACTAATTAATCCTAAAGATTATTAGACTTATAGAAGCAATTTTAGCAAGTTGTTGAAATACAAATTGAAGACTATAAAGTAGTCAATGAATAATATATTCGAAATTGTTCAGAAATTAATAAGAATACGTCATCGTATGAGATAAGTTCTCATGCACACATTGAACCAGCATACGATTCTTTATCACCTAACACATAACTTCTTTGACAAGGACAAAAAAACGATTTTACCGAACTACTTAAGAATTTCAATTCGACAAATTTTAGAAAAGAACAAAGAGAGATTTTGTTTAAACTTCTACCCATATCCCTTCTGAATCCAAGAGTCACATATCTTGTTTTTGTGTACTCAAAAAGTGAGTACACTATAGAATCGGTCAGTGTGTCCGTCCGTCCGGCCGTTTACACGATAACTTTTGAAAGGAGAGTCCGATCGCGATGAAATTTTCTACACAGTTTAGTCTCAACAGTATCTCGGTCGAGTTCGACGATGAGAATGATTGGCCGAGCCATTGCTGAGTTATGGCAAAAATAGTCATTTTTCCCTATGCTTCCCTATGAGAAGATCGACCTATCTCCACTTTCGTAAAAAGCTTTTCCTATCATAGTCAAATAAAACCCCAACTATTATATACCATTCGATAGAGAATTTCACGAGCTACAAAATGGTATATAAAACATAAGGAAACAAGAAAGCCAACT